TGTAATTGAGCGATACATCCACCATTGTCATCATTGAGTTACTATCTCATAACAGACCCAGTTGAACTCCATTGGTCACTATTTCTCGCTAGAACGCCAGGAAATACCTCTTGAAGCTGAGGAGTTCCACAGTAGGACGAAACGGCCATCCAGTGCTTCCTGGTTTTCCATGGTAGTCTAGCTTCAATTGCCTCATGATCTCAACCATTAAAATTATATATAGTTCTTAAGAATAAATACTTTATTATTATTATTATTGAAAAATGTGTCATCACATATCTGAGCCAAATTTATTATTAGCATGATCTAAGTTTGAATTGTATTCCCATGTGTGTTTGTTTTAATGCTTCAGGTGTACAGTTATGTAGTAGATAAATTCAGTTTTGAAATATTTTCATTTCTGTCTCTCAATGGATGTCGGACTTTTATTATTATTATTATTATTAACAGCAAGTGATACAGAATCCTCGTAGTTCACGTAAATCATTAGAAGATTGTTATATGGTGATTGTACAACGTTGGACTAAAGTAGAAACGTTACTTGAATCAATTATACGAAATACATTAAGTAAGTATTTTAATATCGCTCCATAATTATTGAATTAAATCAATACCTTTTTTTTTACTTTAGGGGTGTATTGTCTCGCACACTAGCGCTTAACTTCTATACCACTGAACTGGCATCTAATGATGTTAATGTTTAATTTCAACTAATCTTTAATTTTAATAGTTGAGATTATGAGTCAATTGAATCTAGACTACCATATAAGACCTGGAAGCATTGAACGGCCATTTCGTCCTACTGTAAGACTCCTTAGCAATGCACATTCACGATCCGACCCCGCGAGATGTTTATCGAAATTTATCGATCAGGTAACTGATTAATAAATTTGATAAAATGATTAGATATTTCAAGTTTATGATTAATAATCATGTTACTGACTTTATTTTTTTCTAATACAGAATTATTGATTTTTTTCCAATAAAGTGAAACAAAAAACATTTCAACATTTTTGTTGAATTCAATGTGAGTTATCATCAAAAGTTTTGTTTATCATTCAAGTTTCTTTATTTTTTTACTTCATGAAATCTACTCAACTAAACTTCATGAATCTCGATGTTTGAAAACAAAAAAAAACAGAAAAAAATCAATAATCAATCGATAGGTTTTATACGCACAGTATGCACATATATCAATAAGAAACTGATCGATTGTAGTCCTAAACATCAATGGGAAGATTTAAATAAATAATACCGAGTGAATTTAAAAACTTCACTCCATTACACAAGCAAGGGTCTATCAGGACTTCGTAGCTAAATGAATAACGCAATGGCGTTTGAAGCGAACGGTACTGAGTTTGAATCCCAGAGTGAACATCAACTCTGAGGTACAGGTATATCCAGTTAATGAGTTCCAAATAGGACGAAACATGCTTCCTGGATTCCACTGCTAGCTATTATCCATCTTTGCATATAAATCATCTCGAATGTTTCTTTGAATTTTAACATATAAACATGTTGACACGGTAGAGAAATACTTACCAGTAATAATGAACAACAGTTCATTAATATTGTATAGTTTATATCACGAGTTGATCTACTAAAAACTAAGAATAACTGTTTTGTTCTACTATAGGACTCCTCAGATGTGTATATCCAAGACCCAACTAAGAATTGGTTAAGAGCTGTCACATTCTGCAGCAAGCACTTAACTTTCAGACCAGTTTAGTACTCATTATATGGTATACACTTTCGAACTTCTATCATTTCATAACATTTTGCGTTGTTTGAACAGTTTTTTTTACCTCATCGAAAATTTGGTAGAATCTGGAAATGTAAACTATTATAATCCAATTTGGTAACTTTATGATATCATATTTTCTGCAAGATATAAAGCACCGAATTTTGATTTCATGATTCTATCAGTACCATTACGATCAGATATAAGCTATATCACTCAATGTTTCCAATTATATCGCAAAATTATCTGTCTTATATTCTATAAATTGATACTTTAAGGAGTGACGAGATATGAACATATATTTGGGGCAAAGATCGATGTAATGTAGTATATAGAATCTAGACTGACCCGTTATAATAACAGAAAAGCAGTATGGCATTCACATTCTGATAAGGATAACTGACCGAAAGTCTTCAATTAGGAATGTATCCAGTAAAAGTAATAAGTTCAGTATCAATTTTGAAAACTTAATAAACTATTTATTTTAAGGATTTACTTACCATTACATGTTCATTCTTATGTGAATGATAGGCCGTATAAGTCTAGGCATGTCATGTGTTGCAAAAAAGCATGTATTGTGAATGTATATTCATTCGGTTTTGATGTCAAACTACACTAATCATTCTCAGTGTTTTCATTTGCCTAACAAATGGGTTAAACGTTTGAGAAACATCGTGTGTTTAAATCGGGATTGAGATAAACAAATAAACTTTTAACTTGACATTTCAGAGGAATTAAGTAAATGTGTCATAGCGTGAAGGTTAACTATGAAGATAAATTTATGAAGAACAAAATAAAAAGTAAGATGATATCCTTATTTTCACTGAAATACTATTCATATAAATAACATTTCAATGGTGGTCTAACATCGATAGATTCATAATCTCAATCAAATAAATACCATGTACTCACTAGTGACTAGCTTCATTAGAAATATACTCGGAGTTCTAGTGAGAAGCTGTGACCAGTGGAGCTAATCTATTTCAGATATCGACAAGTATCTATCCTAGACAATAGAAGATGGTCGCACAATTTCGTCGATTGGTTGAAGTTAAAGATTAACACCATTGGATGCCGGCTCAGTGGTCTAGAGCTTAAGCATTCACGCGCGAGACCAAAGGTCTAAGGTTCGAATCCCTACAGTGCGGGGTCGTGGATGTGCACTACTCACGAGTCCCATACTAGGACTAAACGACCGTCCAGTGCTTCCAGATTTTCAGTAATGATCAATATCAATCTATTCATGATCTCAATCAGAACTATTATAACTAGTTGGAAGTAGATAAACCAATTTTGAATTGTTCCACCTATAATGAACAAAGTTAATCTAATGTATAAAATAACAACTCCTTCATACATAAGTGGCTTCACTAGAGTAATTTGATTTCTTTAATAGTGTAACTTAGTCGGGTTTTTTTCCATACACTTCTAATTAAATGCCTATATTAATTCGTCGTATTCTGATATGTTTCTATATAGAATAATATTGTAATTTTCAATAATAAAAAAAACATTGTACGTAGTTAATTGAGTCCAATATGAGAATGAATAGTTGAACAAACATTAAGGCGCTAAATATAGAGAAGTTATTATGGGCGATTAAATTATATTTGAAATAATCACAACAATTGAAGTTTGAAATCATTCCAACATTTCATCTAATAAACTTGTCTGAACTTCTTCTTCTTCATGGTTATAATCGAAATCAAGATCATCGAAGAAATATACAGTGTTTAACAAATCTGTGCTGTATTAATTCAATCCTATTTAGATGTTTACTTTGTTAAACAGGATAATATGAGTTAGTTGTATGCAGCCTTCTTGAATATCTGGATTACCTGTTTCTGTCATTTAGATATTTCAACAAGTTATCTGTCTTTTGTTTGTTTTAACTCATCATTGTGTCTATTAATCTCATAACCTATTCAGGAATGTTTATGAAAAGTTTACGACATTTAGCTGTACGACTTACAAAAATTTGCAATCAGAGAGACATTCGTGTTGTTGGCACTGTGTATTGAAATGAATGAATATTATTTAAATATCGATACCTGAACTGTTAATATCTAACTGGTGATCACTTAGGGAGAAGTAATCGTGATCTCGAAATGAGGGTGAATATGTACCTAAACGGGTTTCAGAAATAAATAGAATGAAATAATTGAATAAGAATAAAGGATAAACATCTATCATCCTCTATTGGCAAACACATAATTGAAACAGATCAGAAGATTGATCTTAACTCGACTTTTGTGGTGTTGTGCAAAAGTGCAAAAGGGAGTATACTAAAGTTTATTGAAGCCTTAGCCAAACAAAAAATTCAAACTTCCTCTGCATATTCAAAAACAGTTTGTTCTCACCTTAAATCTACTCTGGCAATATTAGCTTATTATCTAGATTGATGGAATTTCAAATTGTTTTCACATTAGTTGATATCAGAATCGATTTTTGTGAATATTATAGTTAATATCATGTGCCAGTTGAAGCTAGACTACCATGAAAAACCCGGATGCACTGAACGACCGTTTCCTCCTAATGTGGGGTTCCTCAACAGTGCGCATCCACTATCTCGTCACGCGAGATTCGAACACAGGACCTATCAGTCTCGCGCGCGAACGTTTAAACACTAGACCACTGAGTCAGCATTATTTCTTTATTATTCTTGTCTCCTCTTGCCCTCCATTTCTAATCTAGTTGACCTTTTGGTTCTTACATATAAATGTTCTTAACAAGGATATTATAAATGATCAGATTGTTGGAAATGTGTTACGCTAATATATTATCATATAATTCTGATGATCTTCATCTTCTCATTACACTATCGAGATCATTTACTATTAATCGTCAGAATTGATCAACAATTATGAAAAGGAAATTTGTTATAATACTTTGTGCTGAGAATTCCATATTGTACCAAGAATAAAATATAGTGAATAAAGCTAACCATATTAATAATAATAACAATAACAATAGTAATAATAATAATAATAATAATAGAATCCTATGAAAGTTCACAATCAAAAACATATAATCAATATGATGAATTAATCAATAATTATATTCATTCTCACCAAATGATTACTATTCTTTCAAATATATAATAATCATATGAATAGTATTTACAACAACAAGAACAACAAAATTATGTAATCAATTTCATTTTTCAGTTTTTTCTTTGTTTTACGAGCATAAACAAACAAATCATATCATTCCTCATTTATTATATTACTAAAGAAATTAAATTATACTACTAATTAAAATGAATCAACAAACTAATCAACAATCATCTATTCTAATGAAATATCTTAAACAACCATGGATACTTATATTCCATATATGTATTACATTAATTATATTATTATGTAATACATTATCTAGTTGGATTATTATAAATGATTTAAATCAACAATTACCTGGTTTAGTTTATGATCAAATATCAAATATCATCATTGATTTTTTAATTTTATTGAATCTGATTGAATTAACATTGAATATAATAGAATTTTTATTATGGTTTAATATAATCAGAAAAAAGTTTACATTATGGTTATTAATTGATTGTATTACTATAATAAATATATTATTCGCTGAATTACCATTAATGATATTACATATTTATATATATACATGTCAAGAATCAATTATATCGATTGGTTATATAATGAAAGGTATATTTCTTATAATATTTATTTATTTACGTTTATCGATTTGTTTTATATCATATATACATATGAAATCGGATGATTCATATATTATTAAATCAATAAATGAAAATCAATATTTATTAAGTAATCGTCATAAACAATCTAATCAAATCTCTAATGATTTAAAAGAAAATTTAATATGGAAAGAAAAATATTGGTTATTAATACGTATAATATTATGTTTAAGTTGTATTTGTTTAATGATTATAATTTGTATAATATTCAATTTTTTCTTTCATCAATCAATATATACTACTTATTTATTATGGAATCAATTAAGTAGTTCAGAATTATTATATAATTTACCTAATCATTATTATTTACATGATGTAGAAATATTTTTAAAAGATAATTCAAATAATTCTTCTATACAATCAAAATGGTATCATTTAATTAGTTTAAAACAAATTTTACATTTAAAATTAATTAATGCCAATGAATCAGTGACATTAAAATTTTATATAAATGGTAGAAAAAAATTTATTGAATATAAACAAACAATTTATTATAGTAATCATACAAAAGAACATTCTAGTTCATGTTGGCAAATAATAAATCAAGATTTATATAAAGAATTTATTTGTCCTACTTTATTAAATATTCAAACAATTAAATTAATTCATGGTATTAAAATTTATTTTATTTATAATGCACCAACAAAAAGACAACAATTTGGTACTGTATTATATAATGTAACAAGAATGATAAATAATCGGTAAGTGTTAGATTGTTTTTTTCTTAATTATTATTTGTTTCTTATAATTATTTATTTAGTTATTTACACTTGTTACTTGGAATTGAGCATTTTCTAACTCAATCTGTCTTGGGTATTCGTTTCTAGTTCTATTCAATTATTGTTCATTCATCTAATGTCTGTTACCATTTCTTGGCGTAATGTGTTCTTTGGTCTTCCACTTTACTTTATACCATGAGTATTCTAAATGAGTGTTTGTGTTGTGAAGTAGTTGGGTGCTTTCCTCAATGTATATCCTATCCACTTTCAATGTTTCTTCCTGATTTCTTCCTTCAATTGGATCTGGTTTGTTCTTTTTCATAGTAGGTTGTTACTGATAGTGTCTGGTCAATGGATCCGAAATATTTTGTATAGAAAACTGTTAATAAACACATGTATCTTCTGGATGATAGCTTCCATAATTCTTCAAGTTTTCGCCATATACAGTAGAACTGATTTGATATTTGTATTGAAAATTCTGACTTTGGTGTTGGTTGCTAATTGTTTTGAGTTCCAGATGTTCTTCAGTTATAGGTATTCTTTTCTTGCTTTACCAATCCGCGCCTTCATATCTACATCAGATCCAACATGTTCATCAATGATGCTGCCCAAATGTGTAAAGGTTTTTACATTTTCCAAAGCTTCTCCGTCAAGTGTGATTCGATTGGTGCATGCTGTGTTGTATAGGAGAATCTTACTTTTCCCTTTGTGTATGTTGAGACCTACTTCTGCTTAGGCTGCTGCTATACTGGTCGTCTTCTCCTGCATTTGTCGTTGCGTGTGCGATAGAAGAACTAGATCATCTATCGTTCAGCTGCATCCTAGCTGTCCACTGTATCCCATGCTTCCTCCCAGATGTTGATGTTTTCATGATCCAGTCGACCACCAAGAGAAAGAGAAAGGGTAAGAATAAGCAACCTAACCTGACGCTGGTCTTTACTTCGAACTAAAACTAATACTAACATTAAATAGTAAGTTGAAATTATTGTATATAATAAATGAATATTATCTATTAGGCAAACTGACAAATGTCATATATGTACAAAAAATGATTCAAATATTTTTGATTATAAATAGGAAACGTTTTATAATTATGATGTACTGTACTATCCGAAACATACTAATGATCATGTATGGAACTCTATCAACGCTATAAGCTTTATATAAACTTTTTAAATGATGATCTGATATTCAATAATTTTTATTGTATCATACTTACGGGAGTAACAGGCATAAATAAGTAAGTAAGCAAGCAAGCATTCTATCATACTACTTTTACGTAGGTTAATAAAATGAGTTCAGTATTTCCAAATCTCATACGAATTGATGATGATTGCTTACACAATAAAGTAATAATGTTACTTTGTATGATGTAAAGTTTAAACCTCAAGAGTTGATCCAGTATATTTGATTGCAATTTTGTATATCATTAAAATAAATCATGTTATCTAAGAATAATGTCAGCATTCCAATTAATGATCTTTCTAATCCATAAGGTTTACACATTACTAGGAAACCGAAATAATCTAACGAAACCTGTAGCTTACAGTCAAACATTTATTTTGTAATTGATGTTTAAATCTATCATTCTATGCATTCGTACTAACAGATTAAGTTTTATTTTAACCAAATCATGAATAACTATCTACGTTGTGCGAATACGTATCCGTAATGATAAGATTATTCTGTACATGAATATTCATTGTATACTACCATTTTGATGAATATTTTTTGAGAATATTATTCTATATGGGTTCTAATGAAAATGTAAATCACGGATTGTTAGCTTTTTGAGTCTATGATACCTTGTAGTTTTTGGTTATTCATAGTGATTCACTGAATTTCTTATTTATCATAAAAGTAACTAAGTATGATAGAAATAAACTTTACTTATATTGACGATGATGATAATGATTGACTTCAAAATCAAACTTTCTATCTACCTGACATCCTCTGAACATCGATTACCATGACACGTAATGCTGACTAGTGTTGGAGATGGTTGGAAGAATGTTAGGGGTGGTCAAACCAAAATGTGACGTCACTCATCAACTATTGGTCTGAGCCATGTCGTTAGATGCAGACTACTTGACTGGGGTCAGCGCAACTGTCGCAGCCAATGGTTGAAGACTCTGGGTAACATAGCTCGTAATCGATCACAATGACGTAGGTATATACACTCTTTGTCTTCCCTTAAACCGTGAGATTAAAATCGCTTCATATCTTTCTTTCTACCAACTAATTCTTTCTTCCTGTACTATATCCTTATACACAATCTTTCTTTTATATATTACCACCATTGAATTAAGTACTTCTATGAATTCGGTGTTCATCTCGTTGTGCTAATGAAGTGTGACAACTTTGATAGATGCATATAAGTGCCTGGTGTTGCGTTTTAGCTGACTGATTGAGAAAATCCCCAAAGAGAAAACAGCTCTTTTTCGTTTTTTTACATTTCCATTACAATAAAAAGCAATGAACTTGGTGAATATCTTATCATCAAATGAATTGTTTTAAGAAGTTTTCCCAAACATTGGGTGATGTTATTCAAAAACCATTGATTTATATAATCCAAGGTGTTACGATAAAAGATTAGTTCTAGGAAATTCAATAGCAGTCAACCTATAAATTAACAACTTTTCATAGGATAAATTAACTAATCCCTTTTTCATCAATGAATCATGTACGTCGAATACATAACATTCTATAACTCATATATTATTTAGAGCATATAGACATTATATCAACATTAATTTGATTGCAAGAATAATAATGAGGTTGAGATTAGTTAAATGTTCGAAACTCTCATGAAATTCCTTCCATAGTTAACTTCTGCGATAGAGATCAAAGGACAACAATATTCAGATGGTTAATGTGAATACAGACTTGAACAATAGTGAGCAACAAGTAAGATGTTTTCTCTTGAAAAATCTTCACATAAAGTAAATTTAATATGTTTGTAACAGTAGCAAGAGTTTTTTAATGATTTTATTGAAGGATTAATTTGTCCAACTTACTGATTATCTTAATATTGTACCGAAAATCAAGCGATAATGATAGCATAAACGGCACTCAACATGATACTGAGTTTATTTTACACATCGTACAAGTCAATCTGATAAGAGTACATACAACAGTTACCGTATATAGCAAACTGTTTATAGTTTGTCAATCGATGTCTACTCATTCTTGCTTGGTTTATTAATTCAAAGTTAAGTAGATGCAGGTAAACAGCTGAGAACTACACTGAATTGTGAAAGGATATTTGATTAATGTTTGAATACATGCTTCTTCATTGCAAAGTGAAATACGCTAGGTCGTATTCTCTTAAAAATCTTTTTTAGTAGTATGTTCTGGTATGTTATAGTGGTTTTAGATGTGAATAACATATTTAGTGACGGTCTTCAAGAGGTATTTCCTGGAGTTCTAGTGAGAAGCAGTGACCAGTGGATTTCAACCGGGTCTGTTATGAAATAATAACTCACTGAAGACAATGGATGATGTGTCGCTCAATTTCGTGGATTAGATGAAGTTAGACATTAACGTCGTTGGATACCGGCCGGCTCAGTGGCCTAGAGGATAAGTGTTAGAGCGCGAGACCGATAGATCCTGGGTTCGAATCTCGTGAGGCGGGATTGTGTATGCTGAGTGCTGAGGAGTCACACAATAGAACGAAATGGCTGTTCAGTGCCTCCAGGCTTTCTATGGTAGTCAATTGACTCATGAATTCAACTACTAGATAACATAACTAACAAATTAAATGTTAACTTGTGTAGAATCAACATTTGACAATTAAAAATTAAAAAGGGTCTACTGAAATGAATTTCCTTCTATGAGGTACTCCCAGCAAATTTGTTGATAAATAAATTTAATTTCATAATGATTATATTTCATACTTTGAGTCGTCATTTAAATACATACTAGACTGATTATAAGCGCTAGATATATAAAGAAAACATTACCTGTTATTAGATCATAAACACAAGATCTTTGGATGAAATACAGTATGTATCAAATAGTTGTAACTGAAGGAAAATATTAAGACATAATTAACGATAGTTAAAACTTTTAATTGACTTCATTGGTTTCAAAAACTACTAGTAGTTGTTTATTCTTTTCTAAACTAGAATGAAATAAGCCACTGATAACCACCATTGTCAGAAGTATCTAAACTAATGTGAACTTTTTTCAAACTAACTGAATGTTATAGATCCATAGATTAATTTAGATATTTGTATTGCATATATACGTCAAAAAAGGTATCCATTTTAATCGATTTTTCACTTTTTATTCTGTAATATTTTAATTAACTTACAGGTATAAATTTCGAGAACACGAATTGACATTAAAATATTTCCAAAACACCATAGTTCATTTTTCTTCTAAAAAAACGACAGAATTACAAAGTAACCATGATCATGATGAATGGTCAAGTGGTCCGTTTAGATCAAACAATCTTGAAGTTGATGATCATCAGTACACAAAATATCGAAGTTCAGACCTTGTACCTATTAAAGAATTGTGGAAAACAGGTATTGCAAAGTGTCAAAGTACGGCACCTATAGGACCACAGAAAATGTAAAACAATTTTGTGTCATTTGTTTACTTAGTTAATAAACTTATTCGTTAACTGAGAAAGTGTTTTATTTTAATTATCCTCTTAGTAAAATTACGTATGATTAAGTTTAGCATGAAATAATCGGTAGGAAAGAATTAGTCCTGATGTTGAAACAGCCTCTTATGGGCGTTATATACATTTCTCTTTACGATTTTACCAGTTGAATCAAGGGTAAAATTGATGAAATTCACACAAAACAATTTATTTAACTGAATCAACAGATTTTATCTGGAAGGTCAGGGCTTATATTTTCGTCTAAGAGTCCTTGGTGAAACTTACTTTCAATCAAGAGATTTATAGAAAGATTGCATGTTCGTCAGCTACATTTCCGTGCAGAGAAAAATAACTAAATCTTTTGTAACATTATTGGAAACCAATTTACTGAAGTTCGTCTGTTGGTTTACTAATGTAAACATCCTGTAAGTAAATTTCAGCGTTTTATTAATATTTTTTGTCCAACAAGGAATTGAACATTTTGTCATCTTTTCATCTTAATAGTAAATCTGACTGTTATTGAATATGGTTCAAAATACATTTGCTATCACAAGTAACGAAATAATCGTTCATGTTCTTCTAATATAATTAGAAATAGTCCGTCATGATCTTTGTCAACTTCTTAGCGTACTTTAGCCACTGAATTAAGTTGCTCAATTCAAACGGTAGGTTAAACATACATCTGAATAAAAATTTCTTTACATCAGTGAATATTACTGCGAAAAATATGGTTTTTATATGTGAAACATCAGTAAATAATGAATTAATGACAAGGGATATCATTCATTTCTGATGTTTATATGTAATAACGATTTCTTTGAAGATCCTCTTGTACTAGTTTCGAACTCTAAATAAAATAACTTCGTCTGTGCTCATGGAGTTCTCTCTGAATTGAATACAGATCCATAGGTAGCTACCAGAGTGCAACATGAACAGTTCTGAGAACTACTAGTTAGCATACCGAATTCGACCACTACCACCACTATTATCATTACTACTACTACTACTACTACTACTACTACTACTACTACTACTACTACTACTACTACTACTACTACTACCACTACTACTACTACTACTACTACTACTACTACTACTACTACTACTACTACCACTACTACTACTACTACTACTACTAATAATAATAATAATAATAATAATAATAATAATAAGCATTCGTCTGATGTATGGTTTACTGCCATATCCTTTTCTGTTCCAAAGCTATTGTAATTTAAACGTAATCTTTTGTAATCTGTTTTCTACCCAAATGTCCACAAACCCACATTCTGACATAATTCTATTTTCCTAATTGTTTGTACGTTGTGGTCGTGTCAGCCATAAATTTATTCATGTATCTTTTTCACTGGAACTGGATCGGAATTGAAAATAAATCAAGTAGTGTTCCAGTTGACTTGTCTTCTCTCTCGCACACGTTTGTCAGCCAATCAGGTGATAGGATAGTTTCCGTTTCTCTACCTAAGACAGTTAGTCTCATCTCGGACTCACACGTTTCTAGTCCCAAGGTTAAACCAGTCAGTCTATTGTGCCAAGACGTTTATCCAGATTGAGACAAATATTCTTCTATGTATTGTAAGTAGATAGATGAAGGACGTAACAGTAAGAGATGAGGTTAGATCAAACAACATAGATAAATGTATTAAATAAACAACAAATTTAGATGACTTATTTTTGCCTACCTCATGACTGATGTTGATCAAGTGTGACAGAATGTTGCTGCTTGTTATTCTGACTATGTTCTTTCCTGACCATGAAGGGAGGTGTCCACTAACTCGTTTGCACAGTTATCTGGTTGTGGACCCAACATAGCTCTTTTCACAGGAATAGATGAAGTTATAGATACACGTGTGCATGTGCTATGTTCCTTATCTTAATAATCTATGACTGAGGACAAATGAATTAAGTAAGATCTAGATACAAGTGTTCTTAAATACATATTTCAGTAATTGCATCCACTAGCATATACAATGGTAAATAACAAAATATTATTGAATTGAACCGACAGAACTCGCCTGAAATAGTAGTAGTATCGAAATAATGCCAGAATTACACCTCACTGTAATCGAATGAATTTATTTTGACACTGGCACTTAGAATCACTAAACAATTGCATCGTGGCGAAATAAAGTCAGGACTTCATTAGACTGGTCTAATCTTCATTGTATTGGAATGGATGCAGACTATCCAAAGTGTCAGTTAGTCAGAGCGTCTCAAGTATTTATAGATCAATATAGTGATAGAATAAGATAAACAAATACATAAATATGACAGATAACCAAATACAGGAATATTAGAAGGATTGACCTGCAGGAAATCCGAATCATTGACACAACGGAACACAAGTTGACCAGTAGAACCGAACTAATGCATTTAAAAATCTCCTACACAATCAGATATCCTGTCCCAAAATGCGTATACTAGTATGTTGATTTAAAATGTCTATATGACATTCACAATTTTGTAGGGCTAGCGGAATTTCACTGGGTCCTAGCCAAATCATTAAGCAGACGGGACACTGAATGTCGAACAGTTCACTGATTATTTTCAAGTTCAAGGAAAACCAACGCGCATCGATAAATCGCACGCCATAGACTGACCCATGCGGTGGTGGCCACAATCTCTTCCTTGTACCTATTCTTACTAATATATTTCTGTAATAACGTTCTTTGTGTTATACTGTCTTCAAAGCAGTTGTAGCACCTTGATTTGACGAAAGGGTAATTCACGTTAGCTGCTGATCGCGGGATATGACTTCGAAGTTAGATGGCTCGTCAGATCATTTCCGTCTAACTTCGTTAGGCTCCCAATTGTTCGACACAGATAATCTACGTTAGTGATCTAAAATTTTCTATAACCGGTTGTTATCTGAAAGTAAAATGGTTATCTTTTTAAAACTAACTTTCAAGTTCAAAACATCTACATTTGTCGTCGACTGGGACTCATCAGATATTAATTGTTTTCAATAAGTACTATACAAAATGCTTTGTACTCTATTTGTAAAAGAACACAGTTTGGCTTAATCGAACAGACTCTGGTTTGTTAGCTCTGCATTCAGACCAAAAATTGAAATGTCGCTCGTTACAATCTCTTCAATAGTTGTTAAAACGTCCACATTGACAAACTCAACGATCACCATTATAAATTTTGGGACAAACCATCATGTGGTATATTCAGCTATCTTAATTAACTCATTTTCAGTTACTACAAATGGAATCCTAATTTACTCAATCACTTTAGAGAACAGAACATGCATAACTATTCTTAAAATAATGCGCAATCGTCTGCTCGAGAAACTGGAGGCAAATTTTCAAGCACATGAACACAGTGGACAACAACAGAAGTTTTCATCCCACTACCTAGATGTGAGTCAGAAAACATATCAGCGTGATCTAAATTATTTTTTCCTCCGTATATAACGGAGATCATCTCATCTAGATTAGTAGCTATCAAATTCAGGAGCCTAGAGCAGTTAGTTGAATTTGCCCAGGTCGATAGATCAATACATCCTTGATGTTATGACCTCAGTTGCTCACGCAAACCAAGGAAGTCACTTGAACCCCACAACTATATCTGTAGCCTTTGAACAGCGACTTCTGATTAAAGTGATCAAGTGTAAACACACAGCGGGTGTTTCTGTCGATCGAGGGTATAAAACTCATGAGCCGCGTTCCACGAAACCGGTCAGTAAGTAGACTTAAACTCTACCACGTATGCAGCTCCTTCAAGAGTTGTTTGGGTGTATTTTGTCTAATTCTGCACTTATATCTGTTTTACCAGTACCACGTCTACAACATTTTAACATGTTTTACAAAGTTACCTTACACAAACTATTATTCATTATCATTGTAAGATCCATTTTGAAGGTTTTATGTGTGAAACTCCCTCCGTGTATACACTTTAATTTATTTCTATTGGTTAATTCAGTTGTACATTTTGTTAGTCTTTTTGATTTCATTCGAAATAGTAATATTTTATTATATTATAATTTTTATTTTTCTTACGTCTTCAATGAGTCTCCATGTTTATTCCTGAACTGCATTTATGTTGTCTTAGTTGATACTTAGTCTTGACGCAGCCAAATTCATTCGTTCCCCCTTTGATTGTGTTGCGTTCATTAACTGCAATTGTGCAGTTTTTTTTTGTGAATTGAAATACTCTTTCAGAATTGGAAGCACTCTGTGTTATAAAACAACCAAATATGATCCTTCCAACGTATGTGTACGTGATCTATCCAGAAATAATAGAATAACATTTATTTGTTGCGCTTGGATAATTTTCGTACATCCCTTATCAACTTATTTATTCATTGTAATTTAGATTTGGCTACTGATTAAACAATTATTGATTGAATAACTGGGTGGTATTTTTTGCTTAGGTAATAATGTACATTTATATTTATAATGAAATCTAGTACCATCATTTAACCAATCACCTTGTTTTGATTTCAAGTGGGAAAAAGCGCGTATCTAAACTACCTAGACATTTAATCTTCAGTCCAAACCTTAGTTTGGATCCTAGAATCATCTCTCAATATATTTTTTAAAAAAATTAGTAACTTGTGGAGATATATCTGACAAGCTTATTTTGTAAATAGTTTTTAATGACATTTGTATTTATTTTGTCAATTTTTCACTATATATACATTTATCATTCAATGATTGTACCTGTTGTCTATGTGTTTGACCTTGAACACTTTCTTCCGTTGTCTTACACGCATAGCATGGCAGATTGTTAACTGCTAACAAATACATCGTTGCACACATACTTCTCGTTCTACATTCGCTTGTGGCTGAGTTAACCGAAGTCTCAGATACTATTTACCTTTATAGACTGTAATTAGAATATACCATATCCTATATCGGATCATATCACTGGGGAATTCATCAAACTTACTGGAAGTATCAACCTTCCATAATTGTGGATATTTAGTACCAGATCAAAGTAGAACACGC